ACTGGCCGAGGGGCGGCGGCTTCTGGGACAGCTTTTAGGCATTTCTAATGTAGATCCCTGCACTAGAGATAATCCGAAATGATGTATTTGTTGTTAAAATGAAGCTAGCTAGTATGGGCGGGTGCTAACCAAAGACTTTCTGGCTTGATGAGGTAATCGTTTTATTTTTCCTTGTATTTTACATCATTCGCATTTTTGAAAAACTACCTGCTGCTGACGTTGGCCAAGGTAGCTGCTGATTTGGACATTTCCCGTATTAATAACCCAGTTTATAGATGCACATTGTTTGGAAATTAATACTTTTCATGAGCGCCAGGTTAAGCCCCCTGCCTGTCTTACACATCTGGAGTGTAATCGCTGTATGATTGGTCTACCAGAAGTAAGTGCGTATGTACGGAAGAGGTTAAAAAAAGAGTTCCCTCTAGCACCTAACGCAAGCAGTGACTGACAATTCCGACAGTCTTTGAACATCACTAGACTCTCCAACAGGCTCCAAATTCTTGCCCGAGATTCCTAAATAGGTTGAATATTCGTGAACACACTTTGACTTATTCAAATACTGGCCCAGTTCTGCGAAGTCCTAGTCTAAATTAAATAAGGATCGTTAGCACAACGCCCGTATTCACACTTCATAAAACATATATACTAAAATATAAAAGACAATGTCTTCACGAATTTTAGATGCCGCTGCTTTGCTCTTCATAGCTCTATATGTAAAACACGTAAGATTAAATGTATTACTCGTGACACGAATATGCTGTTTGATAAATAATGGTAAAGTCTTTTATAATACTTTAGCGCTCAAGGAAGGTATTCTTTCAGACTCGAAAAGTGTAAAGATGTTTTAGAAAGTTATATGGTGCTAAAATATAATCCGTATATTCCGTTCAGATACAAGTAACATGGACTGAAACAAGCGGAATTGTTTTCCAAAATGAAGTGGATGGTTCAACGAGTATTTTGTGCAACTCCCCCCTCCCTCTCTCTTTTAAACTGGTAGTATGTTTCTTTTCTCTAAAAGTACCGGTAAATAGGACATGTCCAATCAGACAGGCAAAAAGGTCATTTGCCACAGGAAATATTTTAGGAAATTCTCCCCACGTGTGCATGACAAAGGCAATAGCTGTTAAGCACATTTCTTTCACGGATATTTCACGTACTTAAGTTAGATTTGAAAAAAATAAGCACTGCTTGACAAAGTTGAAAAAAGCAACGGTGTGAATTACAGACAAAATGGATGTGCCTGCCTGCTTAAATCAACCTGCATCGGCTGCAAGCCTCGAAACTCATCTTGCACATCTCCAGATATTCCTCCCGTGTTTGGTTCCCGTAAGCGCTGAGTCTGTTTAGAGAGAAGTGAGAGCTGAAAATACCACGCAGAAGCCCCGCCCACGGACACGTCATTGGCTCGCAGAAGTGCCCGAGACTGAAAGTCATTGATGGAAATGACGTGTCGTCTGACCAAAGCCAGTGCCCTTGGGGCTGCCGGTCAGAGCTGCCGCGTCGGTAAAAACAATCAGATCACCCACCATTCACCTTCATGACGTTAATTCTCGTGAACAGGGAAGCCCTTTAACTCAGGAGAAGAGCTACGAGAAGACGCGGTTATAAAGGAGAAAGGAGGGATGTTCTCTTCCAGCGGGCACAGCTGGTGCTGGAGTTTGCTTCTTGTTTCATACTTGTCTCAAGAAACTTTTCGCGAGCTTTGCCCTCCCACTTGTGTCCATGCAGACGCGAGGCAGCAGGTTAAATTTCCTCCTTGAGAGCAGTCTGCCCTTTCGCACACCCGCCTCCAGCCCCATTTGTCCTGTAGAGAAAAAGTGCCAAGTCTAGAGCTAAACTATCCGAAAGGACCTTGAACCCCCCCGCACCATCCAGCGCGATCCGCGCAGATTTTTTCGAGTCTGCAGTTAATGACATATTCATAAAGAAAGGACTACAGTGGTTGTTTGAAAGTGAGTTTCATTCAGTTCACGGGGCATTGGATGTACGCTGTCATGTACATGCAGGTATCCCAGGGGCTCTGCTTATGATTTCAAGCCTGCCAGGCAATGTTTTCAGTGCCTGAGAAGTTCATCTCAGTACTTGCAGCTCCTCGATCCCAGCCGCCCTCTTCGCTGGAATCAGGCGAACCGACAACACTCGGACAATCCCTTCTGGTTACAGTCTCAACTAGTATTTTGCAACCTGTCCAATACTTACAATTTGTTTTGACAGCCAAACTTGTTTAACTTGTTAATAACTGCTTAGAGTGCTCAAAAACTGCTCGACTTCGCAAAAATGACCTTTTAATTGGGTGGTGAGGCAATTGCTTAGCAGGTAGGATGCCTTCTTTGATGGAAGAGGTAATGCAGAAAGCTCAATATATTCCCTCCCCGATTTACCCCTTACAGCGGTTGACTTCAGCTGATAACAATTAATTAAACTGGGGAAAAGTTATTGGTATTTATGGAGTCCAGGAAACTGACGTGTTTCAGGAGAATATATTGATTTTTGGGGGTGTCCATGACACATTATTTCCTACATTAAAATATAAACAACATTTAAGTGTTGCTTCTTTATTTAACTTCAGTTGTCTTGGCCCAAGCTAATTTTAACAAAGATTCAAAAGGAAAGGATTTAACAAAGGACTATTGACACTTTTTGAGCTGTGACTTTGGTCTACACAGATATAGGATAATTTTCGGTCTTCGCTTCAGATTTCTGGTGATGAGCTTAATCCACAACATATTTATATGGATTAAATAAATAATGTCAAGCATAATAAACAAATGGGTTGTTCTTTACACAAAATGAAAAAAAGCTTCCTTTGGCATTTTAACATCCATGTGTAAATAAACAGTCAATCATAAATCATACATTTGTCTGTGGGGTTTCCCACATCGACAGTACTAATGGAAAGAAAAGATAACGACCTAAGAAAAGAGATACAAGTACATTAAAAGAAAGGCAAAGCAGGATAGTACGGTGCAATGTACGTAGAACTTCGCAGCACTGAATCGATGTAAACACATGCGTGTGGCTACATCATGGGTTTCCTGCAGAAACTTCAGTGCTCGTGCAGTGTCAGGAAGAGGAAAAATACGGTGGGGGTGTTTCCAAACCCGAAATGGCCCGGAGAGTGTGGAAGTTCCTTTGTGACTATTACTCGGCAGGGTGCGCTTTGTTTTGGTACTGGGCACTGCTCCTGGCGCTCCGGAGAGACACGACTAAACGTGCGTACGCACTGAGCTGATCTATATAGACAGGTTGGTAATTTATAACGACGCGACTAGACAATGAGAAGTCAGCGCAGCCTGGAATAGTAAAGCGGAGGTTGGCCAGCCGGTACTTCACTCCTGACCTCAAAGATCAGTTCACAAGCGCCCCCCCCCCAGCCCCCAACACACCCATTGCTCTTCTTTCCAGACCGCGTGCAAGGGGCGTGGGCGGCGGCGAGGCGCGCTGGCAGCGCCCGGGATCCCGATCTGCGGGAGGGGGACGAGAGGCACCAGCAGCAGAACAGGCTGCAAATCGCTGTCGTGTGGTTGCTACTAGCAACAAATCAGCTGAGCAGCCTGCCAGCTCTGAGCACCTAGCAGGGAGGTGGCGGGGAAAGCGCCGGCCAAGGGGAGGCCTCCGTTGCGGGGCTCGCTCCACAGGGGCCCGTCGCCCCAGGAGCCGCTGCCCCGGCGCTCCCCGCGGGGCCCCCGCCCGGGC